TATAGTGTGTCTCGTGATGCTGTTTTTTGTTTTAATTGTATTCATTTTGCAAAGAATTTAAAAACTGACAATTTAATTACAACTGGATACAACAATTGGAGAAAAGTATGTTTTTTGTTTGGATATTTATTTATATAAATTAAAAATATACAGATATACTAATGTCTAATTCATTATTTTAGTTGAATGGAAAGTTGTTAAAACATTCAAAAACTGTTCAACATTTAACATCAACTGTCCAGTATAATAGCTATAAAAGCTCAAAATTGACTGGCACTATAGTTACTCAATTATCAACTGCTAAAAAAAATGAAATTTTAAAAAATAGACAGTATATGAAAGTTCTTATAAATATAACCCTCTTTTGTGCTAAACAGGGACTTGCTCTAAGAGGTCATGATGAAAAGTCATCAACAGTTTCTAATACTGGTAGGAAGATATATTTTTATTTTAGTTCCACTACTACCACTTAAAGTATAATAGTTTGTATATCATAAATTATTTATCTACAGGAAATTTTAAAGAGCTTTGTACATTATTTGCAATGAACGATAAAGAGTTTTCAGACTTTTTTAACAGAAAAATTAACTATACAAGTTGGATTATTCAAAATAGTATACTTGAAGTTTGTTCAAATATGACAATAAGTACTATCATTAGCGAAATAAAAGACTGTGGAATGTACTCTATTATGTGTGATGAAGCAAGGTAATACACTATTACCACAGATTATATTTTGTGCTATTACTTAGAAATAAGTTATTAGGTAATATATTTTAATATAATTTTATTTTAATGTATTTTTTTCAATTAGATCCTATAAAACAGAACAATTATCAATATGTGTTAGATACATTATTCCTAATAGCTATAGTGTATGTGAACGATTTATTGGATTTTATGATGTATCAAATGGGAGAGGAGCCGAACATATTTCTATTGAAATTCTCTCTGTTCCAAAAAAAATTCGGCATTTCTGATATTCCTCTTGTGGCACAAACATACGATGGTGCAAACGTAATGTCAGGATCCACATCTGGTGTTCAAACTAGAATAAGAGACTCTCACCCTGAAGCAATTTTCATTCATTGTATGGCCCATAAATTGAATTTGGTTGTAACAAATACTTGTAGAACTATTAAGGTGCATAACAAATATTAATAAATACTTAAATAATATTTAATACATTTTTATATACGTTACAATTTATAATATATGTACCCATTCTTTTTTATAATCAATTTAATCATTATCTTTTACAGGAATCTAATACCTTTTTTAATACTCTGGAAGCAGTTTATGTGCATTTTTCACAGCCTGACAAAGATAAGCTATTACAAGATTTACAGAAATCCATGCAAATAAAATCACTATCGATTTCTAGATTATGTGAAACACGGTGGTCGTGTCGTCTTAAAAATTGTAAAGCAGTACATAATAGTTTTGGTGTAATAGTAAATATTTTACAAAATGAAATAAATGAAGATACAAACAAAGAAGTGGCTCAAGCAATTGGTAATAATTTAATATATTATATGTATTTTATATTAATATATGTATATTATGTATGCTATAATAACTTGAGTATAGTATAACTATAAGACATTTTGTTCAAAGGTCTTTTGCACATGTTAAAAAAAATGTCATTCGTATTGTATTTGTTCATTTTTGAAGAAATATTAGGAATAATAAATATATTGAGTAAAAAATTGCAAAAAGAAGAAGGTACAATTGGAAATGCTGTTATTGAAATTAGTGCTGTGATAAAAACAATT